AAACTTATAAATCAACATTTATGAAAGATACTTATAGTTATAAAAAATTTAAAAGATTATAAATAGCTAAATAGAAGATTCAAAATATTTTAAAAATTGTACCATGTAATTTATGAAAATTTTAAGTATTTATGATTATCTTTTTTTTGAGTTAAACCAAAAAAAAATTCAAAGTTTGTTAAAAACTGGTTTTACATTAAAATCTTTATTTTCCCTATTTATTTTTTTTCATTTCAGTAAATTTTAAAGTGCAATCTTTTTTTTATTTTTATTTCCCAGAGATTAGTTTATACTTTAAAATCAATTTGCTACCCGAGAAACATATAATTGAAAAGTCGATACTTTCATTGCTCTGCTTAAATTATAAAATTTATTACTTACCCTGCTAAATCTACTAAATTGAGCTTCATTTCTTTATGTTTACTTTTATAACTTATCATGCAAATACAGTGTGATCGACTGGATTCCGCATTCATACTTGTGGATGAAACACTTTTCCTCATGTTACCCACCTCCAAAATTTTGATGGCATCATTACAATTAGTTATTTTTATTTTCGTTAAATTTTTAAATTTGATGTCACCTTTTGAACTAATACTGAACTTTAATTTTTCACTAAATTATAAAAGACACATTAAACCACATAGTTATTTTTTATCGGACTAAATTATTATTATTATTTTTTTACTAAACTATTTTTACGCTAATTATCTTGTAATATTGATTTTGTTAATAAGCTTACTTCAATTTCGCATGTTTTGTTTTTTTCAATGGTAAATTGTTTGCGTCTATTGATAAATCGTACACGTCGTCGTTGTATATTTCAATGTATTCCAATGAAAAATCGTGATGTAGTTCTAAAAAAATTTTTTATTAATGCGATTTGAAATTAAAAATGTATAAAATGAACTTCAATAATTACCTTCTAAGCAACCTATAGAAATAACATTCTTGGTCACTAGGCAATTCATTTTTAATTAATTTATGTTTTTAACCGTGACCAAATTATATAATATTATGTACACATTTTTAAAATATTTAGATAAACTAAAATATTCAATTCTCTTACTGGTAAATGAATGTACTAATAGTCAATAGATTATTATGCTCGTAGAAATGTATTTATTATTTTTTCTTACTAAATAAATTAATATTTTTCAAAAAATCGATTTGCGTACATTTGAGTATATTATGAATGTAATAGATTTATCGCGAAATCACTTACTTTGTATATATGACATAATATATTAAATTATAATACAACTAAGAAAAAATATAAAGATATAATTGGTTATTACTTATTAGTTATTACATGGAAATACTGATTCTTTAAAATTAGAAATAATACTATTTGTTTTATCAGTACACAAAATAAATACTTTTTTTTTCTTGGTTTTTGGTCGTTGAAATATACCGCCAAACAAATTGATCTCCATCCACCTTTATCTTCCTTATAATCCTCCGTGGTACCTCTGATAATATCCTTCCCGTATCCGTTTTCATGCAATCCAACTATAATAAACTATTATATAATATATATTATTAGATTATTATTATTATTATATAGTCTTTCTGACGATTTCTTACCGACCGGATTATCTTCAATTATTAATATTCTCAGTTCTCATAGTCCGGTAATTGACCTAGTTAACGAATATAATCAAATTTTACGTGTTCTTTAAATAAACATAACTTACATTTTATGTTTATCAAAGCTTGTACATTTACGTGTGTAATAAATATTGTATTTCAATATTTGGTACACAAAGTGAACGACTACATTGTGAAAAAAATTACACAATGTTAAATTAGAGTGACCATTTCATAAAAAAGTGACTATATTGTGAAATATTTTCGAATTTCACGTAGTGTAAAAAATCTGTTTCCATTTCATGAAATGGTCATCTTTTCATGAAAAGATGAAGTTCATCAAGTAGCTACGACATACATATTTTTGGCCATGCATGCCTGCTTACATCTACCTCCTTTTTTGAATTTCATTTTCAATAATTGGTTTTTTGGATAGTTCTTCGAGTTTATTGTTATATCGTTCCCGCCATTGTCTTGTGTGAGAATAGTTTTCTTACCTATATTTTTCATCTATTTCAAAGTCAACTATTTCAAGACATATCAATCCAGTTATTGATTTATTATCCAAAAACATACTATCTTAACTATCACATTAATTTAAAAAAGTACACCATCATTTTCTATAGTTATTAAAAATTTACTTACGTATACTTCAAGTTAAAAATTATTATAAAACTATTTTCAAAAATTTCCTACAGCTCCACTAGAATTTAATATTCACACATAAATATATATGTTATCTCATACAACATGATTTTAAGCATTTAGAAACAAATACTGATGAATAAATTTAAAATATCCATCTATTAGTTATTTATTTATTTATAAATATTTTTGAAGTTTGAATAGATTATAAACACACCTCCTTCACGAATGTAGGACTCTTAAAAATCAAAAATAAACATATCCACACTCTTCAAAATATTCATATTTTTTATAGTTAGTTGGATTTAATTAATTTTGACTCAATTATATATTTAACAAAAAAAAAAAAAAAACAACGATTTTATTGAATATTAAAAATATTTTTTGTGGAAATTCAAAACATTATACAGGGCGATTCAAAATTTATGTTACAACCATTTTATCATATAAATATTCAAATTAGTGAAAAATATATGGTACAAAAGTTTTTTGATGTAGAAACATCTATTACGATTTCACAATTTAAAAATTTTTAACAACATTTTAGGGGGGTTTGGGGGGGTCAACTTTAGAAATTAAAATGGAAACCTATACTTTTTTTTGCAATCATAATGTGGGGGAAATTTTTTAATGAATTTTAGTGAATGAACAACATTAATTAATGCAAAACTCTATGCTTGAGAGCTATTTACAAATTTTAGAAATTGTAATAAATTGACCATATGCCGACAAGTAGCTAATAGTGTCATTTATCAGTTATCACGTCATAATGAGCCGCTCCCGCGCACTTGTACAAAAGATTATTATATGCTTGTTGTATCATTGTATGTTATCCGCAATATTAATAATACATTTTAATGTGTTTACCCACATAATTATATTATATCATAGTATCATACTATCATACAATCATATATGTAGTCATACGTTATTCTGTGTAATCACTAATCAGTATTAAGTATAATATTATCACTTAACACGCACATGTACCCAATTGTCACAACTGCTGAACTGATCAAGTTTAAGAATTAAGACAAACGGATGTTCAATTTTGGATTTAGATGTTGCAAGATTTAAATGTATGTTAAACTGTTTTTATTATGCTAAAATTATTACTGTGCGTCTGGATTTATGTCATATATTATTAAGGAAAAAACTAAAGCTCGGATCGGATTTGTATATAAATAGAGAATAAGGAATCATCTGAATTTGACAGGTGTTGAATATGTTTCAAAAGCTTCTAAAATGTATGTATACAATTACTAATTAATAGCAAAAATTTATTTTATACTACAATTTTGAAAAAAATTTTTATGCCTACTTAACTATCCCTATATAATTGATTTTCATGTGAATATATTAATATAGACATGGCTGTTTACTTTTTAGTGATTATTCGTCATAGGTAAATACTTCATTTCAACCTAATACATATTATAGTCCATTATATTATTATAATAAATATAATACCTACCATAATTGTTATCATGGTACCTATTATTAATAATATTATTATCTTGAAAACTTAACAATTTTGTATTTTTGAATTTTTTAACACGTTCACTGCCGACCGTATTATGCATCATACGCGCGTAGCCGAAAACGAAAACGAAAACCAGTCTCGCCTAATACTGTCAACTACGTATTAACTAGGACTGACTACGACAATGTACGTACATTGAAGAATAAGAGAATAACTATTAAATTTAATATAAAAGATAAGACTGTATAATATTTCAACAATAATAATTTGGTGTTTTGGAACCATTTATATACATATATATTAAGATATAATTAATTTCAACGAAAATATAAATTAGGAAAAATATTCTATAAATAATTCGAAACTTAAATCCAATTATACCATTAAATTCTACACGAGTTAACGAATCTTTTAATGAATAAATAAATAACATCCGATAAAAGCCGACTCCGTGACAATAAATAAAAATGAATAGTTTTGGTGTCAACAACGTATTGACAGCGGCCACCGACGAATGTACGTGTGTCAACTACGTGTTGACACCCGCGAACGTGTTAAAGTAGGTATACATTATCTAGATTTCAAAAACTTATAATACTTTTCATATATTTTACTATTTAAATTTTATTTACAATATATGTATATGTATATTTCTATATTTAGGGATATTAAATAATAAATAGGTACCTAATATACCTATACATATACACAAAACCAATTATCCTAGTCATAGTAATGATAATTTATTGATAACATATGAAAATATATTTGATTTTTTTTGTTTATTATTATTTTATTGCTTATTATATTTATAAGTATATTATATCGATAGTAGATCAATTATTTAAATATAATTTTCATGTTTTTGTGTATCTTATTTGCAATTCATCAAGATACACATTTGTATTATTATTCCAAGAATACTTGTATTTTATTCATAATTTTCAATAATTTATCAATAGATTAAGTATTGTTAATCTCAAGTAAAAATTTCTTAAAGGTATTCTAACATTTATAACTTTGCTTCAAAAACCACTATGTAGATACTGAAATTGTTATCATTTTAAATATAATTATTACTTTTTAATTTAATGAAATCACTTAAAAATCATCTTTTAATTGTGTTACTATAATATACCTTCAATTTATTTTATTGATGTGAAAATGAACCATACTTTTCTGTGATTTTAATGTCTATAAGTACTATTATATTTCTTTCTCTATAATATACATATATATTGTATGTATTGTATACAATTTACTAATACATAATTCCTTACTTATTCATGCAATTTTTAAACTTGGTTAATTTGACGTTGTAAATGGTAATAATGTGATTCACATTATTATTTATTATTTTAAATTAATTATCATTGAACCTCTACCATGACATTGTGTTCTGCAAGTTCAAAATGATCAATTAAAGACTTATTAATTATTATGTCATAATTAATAAACAAATTAGCATTAGGTACCGACATTCAAATTAATAAATCCAAGTAGGTACCTTAATTGGCTGCTGAAAAAATTGAAACTTTAAAGAAACATATTATGCGTTTGTTTAAGTATACAATATATTATGTATAGTATAGTAGAAATAAATATTATCATAACTTAAGTTACTTATCAAGAATTTCCAATCAATCATTGAAACAATTTAACACATTTTATTAATTAAAATGTCTTTATACATTTAAAGTTAGAATAGCTAATGATATAAATACTAAACCTATCTAATGAATTTCACTTTGCTTTGAAACAACTTTCAAAATTTAATATTATTCTTAATTTTCAATTTTAACTACCTAACTAATTCCTGTTAGAAAATTTAAAATTATGAGTAATCTTATTGTCTAATTAATATTTATGTAATTTCAGTAATATCAGCAAGCATACATTTTTAATTTTAGAATTGTCAAAACTACATATTATATGTATTATTATTTATTATAAATCAAAATATTTCCAAGTGTTCACAATAGTTATCACCTTAGTAATATTAGGTGTAAAATATCCGGTTTATAAAATAATTTTTTATCAAAATATTGCAGCTTATATTATACATACATGTATTACATGTAATTAAATTTTGTGATTATAAATATAGGTTTCTGAATAATTGTAAGTACATACTATTATATTATATTTTAAGTTAGTGGTATAAATATAATGTGTAATATTTTATGGTAGTCAAAATCAAAATTCAGTAATGTTCGTTAGGGAATATAATAAAATAAAATGTTTAAAATTGAATGTAGATGTACCGGATTATTTATAATGTAACATTTTTATTTCTTGGGGCTTGGATGTTGTTGCAAATTTGCAATATACTATTAAATTTCTTAGACTAAATTTTACAAAGTATATTTTTTATTAATATTACCTATAGTTTGTTACAGTGTTATAGCTATCTAATAAGACATGTACATACTTATATTGTATAGAAACAATTTTATGTTTGATAAGCATAATCAAACAAAATAAATGATGGATAATTCAATCAATTTTTCCAATTTTCTTTCAAAATTATACATAAGTTTTAAGTTGAAAAACAGAATTAAGTATATTCAGTAAATTTGAAAAAGAAAAAAATGTCATATAAATACATCCTAACTTGAGATTCAATTATTATATTACTAAACTATTTATGGAATAAATACATTGTAAATATTGTTAACTGACAATAAATTTGAAAAAACAATAAATAATAGTAAAGTTTACAAAATCCAAGCCCTATTTATTATTATTATTATTGCGATTTTAATATTTGGTAATATCAAATCTTTATATTTTAATATTTGGTAATATCAAATCTTTATGCTGTGAAATGGTTATGTTTTTGCAAACATTGTTTGATTTTATAGCATCATTTAACGTTATGTTTTACGCAAAGTTTAATCATTCAATTTTT